AGCAGCTTTATCTGTAATAGACAGAAGCTGGAAACATCCCAGATGCCCCTCAGTTGAGGAATGGATACAGAAATCATAGTATATCTACACAATGGAATATTATTCAGTGATTAAAAAAAAAAAAGGAAATCATTAAATTTACAGGTAAATGGTGGGAACTGGAAAAAAAATCATCTTGAGTGAGCTATCCCAGAAGCAGAAAGACACACAGGGTATATACTCACTCCTAAGTAGCTATTAGACATATAATATAGGATAAACATACTAAAATCTGTACACCTAAGGAAGCTAATCCAGAAGGAGGACTCTGGCGAAGATGCTCAATCCCCATTCAGAAAGGCAAAGAGGATGGACATTGGAGGAGGGAGAAAACAGGAAACAGGACAGGAGCCTACCACAGGGGGCCTCTAAAATGCTCTACCCTGAAGGGTATTGAGGCAGATGTTGAGACTCATAGCCAAACTTTGGGCAGAGTGCAGGGAATCTTATGAAAGAAGTGGGAGATAGTAAGACCTGGAGAGGACAGGAGCTCCACAAGGACAGTGACAGATCCTAAAATTCTGGGCACAGGGGTCTTTTCTCAGACTGATACTCCAGCCAAGGCCCACTCATGGAGATGAACTGGAACCCCTGCACAAAGGTAGTCTATGGCAGTTCAGTATCCAAGTGGGTTCCATAGTAATGGTGACAGGGACTGTCTCTGACAGGAACTGATTGGCCTGCTCTTTGATCACCTCCCCCTGAGGAGGGAACAGCCTTACCAGGCCACAGAAGAGGACAATGCAGCCACTCCTGATGAGACTTCACAGACTAGGATGAGAGGATAGGGGAGGAGGACCTCCCTTATCAGTGGACTAGGAGAGGGACACAGGTGGGGAAGAGGGAGGGTGGGATTGGGAGGGTAGGAGGAATGGACGTACAGGGGGGATACAAAGTCAATGAACTATAATTAATAAAAATAAAAATAATAAAAAATTCCAGAATAACTTTTGAAAAATCTGTACAATAAAAGAACTTCAGGAAGTTATCACCATCCTGATTTCAGGCTATACTACAGAGCAATAGTAATACAAACTGCATGGTATTGGCATAAAAACAGAAAGTTTGATCAATGGAATCGAATCAAAGCCCAGAAAGACAGACACCTGTTTATTTTTACAAAGAAGCCAAAACCAAAAAAAAAAAAAAAAAACAAGAAAGAAAGTATCTTCCACTCATGGGGCTCATCTAACTGATGTCTACACGTAGAAGAACACAAATAGACCGACATTAACCACAAAACTCCAGTTCAAGTGGATCCAAAAACCTCACCATAAAACTGGATACACTAAATATTATCAAAAAGATAGTGGGAAATTGCCTTGAACTCATTGGTACAGAGACAACATCCTGAACAGAACACCAACAGTTAAGTCACTAAGATCAACAGTAAATGAGACTTCATGAAACTGAAAAGCAAGGCAAAGGACATTGTCAATAGGACAAAACAGCAGTCTTCAGAATAAGAAAAGATCTTCCTCAACCCTACATCCAAAAGAGGGATAATACCTAAAATAAATAAAGAACTCAAGAAATTAAACATTAAGAAACGAAATAACCCAATTTTAAAATGAGGTACAGAGCTAAAAGAGAATTCTCAACAGAGGAATCTCTAATGGCTGAGAAGCACTTAAAGAAATGTTCAAAGTTCTTAGTCATCAGAGAATGCAAGTCAAAATTTTTCTGAGTTTCCATCTTACACCCATCAGAATGTCCAAGACCAAAAACTCAGTGACAGCTCATGCTGATGAGGATGTGAAGAGAGGAACCCTCCTCCATTGCTGGTGGTTATGCAAACTTGTACAACCACTGTGAACTCAATCTGAGGTTTCTCAGAAAATTGGGAATACGTCTACCTTAAAACCCAGATATAGCACTCCTGGGCATATATCCAAAAGATGCTCCACCATACTGAAAGGACACTTTCTCAGCTATGTTCATAGCAGATTTATTTGTAATAGCTGGAAACTGGAAACAACCTAGATATCCTTCAACTAAAGAATGGATAAAGAAAAATATGATACATTTACACAATGGAATACTACTCAGCTATTAAAAACAAAAACAACATTCAATTTGCAGGCAAATGGATGTAACTAGAAAAAGATCATCCTGAGTGAGGTAACCCAGATCCAGAAAGACACACATGGTATATACTTGCTTATAAGTGGACGTTAGCTATATAGTACAAGATAACCACTGACCCAAAGAAGCCAAGGAGGGACCAAGGTTGAGGATGCTTGAATCTCACTCATAAGAGGAAATAAAATAGGCACCTGACATAAATGGAAGGAGAAAACTGGAAGGGAGAAGGGGTGGGGATCACATATGGGAAAAGCAGGGTGGGGAGGGAGGACTGGGAAAGAGAATAGAAATCTGTGGGGGTCATCTCTGGGAGAGCAGAGACTCCTTGGAGGCTACAAGGTTGACCTTAGCTCAGACTTCTAGCAGTGGGGAATATGGAGACTGAAATTGTCACTTCCTGTATCCAGGTGGGACTTCTAGTGGAGAGAGGAGGACACCAACCCACCCGTAAAATCTTTGGACCAAAATTTGTCTTACCTACAAGAAATGTAGAGATAAAGATGGAGCAGAGTTGAGGGAAAGAAAAACCAATGATTGGCCCAATTTGGGACCCAACTCATGGCAGGAGCCAACATTGACACTATTAATGATTCTCTGCTATGCTTGTAGACAGGTGCCTAGCATAACCGTGCTCTGAGAGGCTTCATCCAGCAGCTGATGAAAACAGATGCAGAGAACCACAGCCAAACAATAGGCACAGAATCCTGCTGAAGAGGAGGAGTAAGGAATGTAGAGCCAGAGGGACCAATGGCACCACAAGAAAACCTACAGAGTAAATTAACCTGGTCCCATGGTGGCTCCCAGAGACTGAACCACCAACCAAAGAGTGTGCACAGGCTGGACCTAGACACATTCGTAGCAGATGTGCAGCCTCCTACTCTCCTAATGTGTGAGAGTAGAGGTTTTCTCTGACTGTTGCCTGCCTTTGGATCTCTTTCCACTACCTGGGCTGTCTTGTCCTGGGGGAGGATGTGCTTAGTTCTACTACAATTTCAGGTGTCAGGGCAGGTTGGTACCTCTTGTGGGCCTCCCCCTTCTCTGAGAAGGAGAGGGATGAATGGGGGGGGGGTGGCATGAGGGTGAAGAGGAAGAGAGGAGGGAGGAAGCTAGGATCAGGCTGTAAAGTGATCAGATAAACAAACAAGCAATGTCTCACAAGACAGGACATTTAAAGCCATCTCATCATGCTTAGAGATATGGTGAGGTTACCAGCTGCTGTGGTTTAGATGTAAAATGCACACAACAGGTTCATATATTTCAACCCTGGGTCCCTATCTGGTGGCACCATTCAGGTTGTGGGTCTTTTAGGAGGTGGAACTTTGCTGCATGACATGAGTAACTGCAGCAAGCCTGGATGTATTAGAGCCACATTCAACTTGTGACTCACTCTCCGCTTCTTATGAGTAGATGCAATGTGACCAGCCTCGCAATCCTGCTACCGTGATGGGCCTTGAGATTCTTATAGTGTGATATTTGATTGCAGCAGTGAGAAAAGCTATAGAGACACCAGTTATGAAGTGGAGAAGGGCAGACAGGAGGAAATACAATGCAACCCCACATAGCCCATTTGGAAGGACGGATAAAAACTGTCCCAGTCCCATCAGACTTTAAACCCTGTGAGAAGAGGGACTGATGTTAGCTTGCATGGCAGAGGAGTGGGATACTAGTGGAAACCACAGGATTCTTCCTTTGCTAGAGACTTCTTCATTTCTCCACATGATACTGAGAACCAACATGTGAGTGGAGCCTGACTTGCTCTGCCATTACTGCTAATATCTTCTTTAATCCAAACCCCACAAGGAATGCTTCTACAATTTGGGATGTGAGGACCAGATGTCAGGACTTAGATTCTGTGTTGCTTAATTCTATTAACTTGACACAACCTAGAATCAACTAGAGAACTGTCTTGATCAGGTTGTCTGGTGAGTGTGCCTGTGTAGAGCTGTCTTGATTGTTAATTAAAGCAGAAAGATTCAGCCATTACGTGAGTAGTGCTATCTCATGAATATAGCCCTGAGCTGGTCAAAGTCAAGAAAATTTGGGGAAGCATATGCAACCAGCCGGCCAGGATGGCTTATTCTTTTTCTGCTCCTAACTGTGATGGAGCTAGCTGGCCAGGATGGACTATCCTCTCTGCTCCTGACTGTGATGGAGCTAGCTTCTTGTGCTCCTTTTTGCCCCCCCCCCCGATGTTGGACTGTAATATGGAATTATGAGCCAAATAAGCCTTTTCCTCCTTTATATCACTTTCGGTCATGGTGTTTTATCACAGAAACAGAAATGAAGCTAGAATATTATGGTTTGGATTTAAAATGCCCCAATCCCAAAACTCTTCCATTTAATGAGAACTGTGATCCTAACAACAGCTCATCAACTCATTTATGGATTCATAAGTCAATGGGCTACTGGGCGACGATGGAAGATTTAAGAATGAGGCTTGTTGGAAGCAGTGGAGTCACTGGAGACATGCCCTTGAAAGCTGCATTGTCCTAACCCTCATTGCCACATCTTGGTCATCACAGGCTCAGCAGCTTCCCTCCACAATAAGCTTTCCTCCCAATGCACTGCTCTACCAGGTTTAAAAGCAACTGGACAACAGAGGAAAACCTCAGAAACCCCAGGACAAAATAATCCTTTTCTCCTTTAAGTTGCTTATTCTGGGTATTTTGTCATAGCAAGGGAAAGCTGACTCACACAGCAGCCCAGTTATGTAAAGCTACACAGCAAATGTCCTGAACCTAGCCTACATTTGGGGTCACACAATTCTGAATCCTGAAGTACAAGGGGACTGGACTGGATATTTTAAGGGATCTGTTGACTTCCTTCATCCTGAGCCTTACCTTGTCAACCACAAGCTTCCCCAGGGTCTTACTTACCATCACCAACAAACTGGAGTAGAGCCAGGTCAATCTGCCTCTTCCAGGGTGAGCCCTTTTGGAGGGCAATTCCGTAGCCAGTGGTGGCAAAGATGTACCCACTCCCAATGGTCACCAGTTTACAGCCTTCATCCCTCCCAGCCTTGTAATTCAAGACGGCTGCATCATAGATGAAAGCGTCCAACTTCCTGAAATGACAAGACAGCAGGGAGTCATGGGGTGGCCAGGTGCCATCTCAGGGCCCTGTTCTTCTGGCCAGCTCCAGCACCTCACACAGTGGGGATGGTGACTCATGCTTGCCCCAGCCCCTTGTCATAAAAGAATCTATTTTTAATGAGGAGATAAAAGCCAGAACCTATTCTTTCCAACTTACAAGAGGCAGCTAAATTAAGACACAAAGAATCTATATACCCAAGTGAGTAAACAGGCTGGTTTTTTTGTTTGCTAAGTGTTTGTCCTTAACACCTCCCAGCAGTGGGAAGCGGTGGCCTGTTTAAAAGGCTTGCCTCAGAACACCAAGAACCGCTAAAGGACAGTAGAACTAGGTGATAGCATGCAAGCAGAAAAGAGGAATCAGCCTGGAATGATGCCTTTTTGTTTTAAAGACTTACATAAATACAATTGCTGTTTATGTTACAAAATCACTACAGAGTAACACTTAAAAACTCAAATCAAATATAAAGGTATTAAAATTATGTAAGTGATTAAGTAAGTGTTATACATTCCGTAACCTAATCTGTAACTATGAGGTGACCTCTATTATATTGATGGATAATATTTTGAGGCTTGTATGTATACACACTCACTCACATGCATACACATATACAACAGGGTTAGGAAACATTTTTATGTAAAAACATAATGAATAATTTATGTTTTGTGAGCTATATGTTTGGTTTTTTTTTGTTTTTTTTTTTGCTGAGGTGAGATCTTATGGATTAATTATTCCTCCTTCCATAAGAATAATTAGTGTTGAAGTCCTACCCCTCATTATGTGATATGTTTGGAAATACAGTCACTGTGGATATAACCAGTTAAGATGAGGTCATACAGGATATGGCCCTAATCCAATATAATTGGTGGCCTTATCAAAAGGGAGAATGTCAGTATACACACACACATTCAAATATGTACACACGCACATGTGGAAGATATGATTATGTGAATACTAGAATTACATAGCTAGGAGCCTGTGAACAATGAAATCCCTAAGACAGACCGTTCTTTCTCACTCTTAGAGGCAGCCCTGCTAACACCCTGGTACCAGACTTGGAGCCTCCATAACTACAGGCCAATACATTTCTGTTCTTTAAGCCTGTCAGTTCAGACTGCTTCATTAGGGAAGCCCTGAGCAACCACACACTTCATCAGACAATATAGCATAAACAAGCTCGGTTCTATTCCAATGAAACAGCTTTGCAAGACCTGGCTGTTCATCCACTATAGTTTACACCAAATCACTTCACAGATTGCTCCCCGATTTCACACATATAGGCATATTTCATATCAATAAAAAGTGTTTTCTTCTTTCCTGATCAGTTTACTTTTATTGCAATATTGAGGTGCTCCATAATTTTTTACATATGGGCATATGTTTGAAATCCTGATGCAGGTCAAAACTGGGATCACAATAATCACTTCAGCAGTCCTGTGTGACACCTGCACACTCACCATTTCCCAAGGCATCATTGCATCTTGTGAATGATGTGCTGGACCCAATCATTACCCATAACCCTATTAGTAAGTACATCCATAATTTCAAAAATCTGAAGTTAACTAAAAGCTCAGGAATGGATGTTTCCATTTTAAAACAGACAGGAGAACTACATCAGAGATTACTCAACCTCCTGCCATAGTCTCCACTTCATTGGCTTTCTCTAACAAGAAGATATAAAAACACTGAAGCAAAGAAAAGTAAAAGTGGCAGGAGAGGATGTAGTGGCCTGTGTTCTGTCAGAGGCAGCTGCTGGAAGACTCCCTGTGGGAACACAACTATTTGCAAGCTTTATAGGCGTTTTCATCATTTCCGTTCTTCCCCTGGTTTTGTTTTGTTTTGTTTTTTGTAACAATTACAGGTGAGGCAAAACTACAGGGCTTATCTAACATATAGAAAGACTCTGAAACTTTTATTCCAAATACTGGGTATTTATCTCCAACTGTGCTGAACAGGGATCAGAGCATGTAAGCAACAGCAGCATCAGGGAGAGAAAGCTGGATGTGGTCTGCGGTAAAGGCAAACCAGAGCTGCCTAGAAAAGTGGGTACAGCCTTTCTGGAAGGCCAGTGTACTGGAATGGTACGAATAGTGGGCGGAGAGCTAGAAAAGATGTGAAGTTGCATGAACTCACGGCAGTGGTGGCTTCTTATACAACCCTTGCTTAATACTGGCCTGTCAGATTTCTATCACGGCAGGGGGGGAACTTATAGTTCTCTGTAGTATATCAATGGCGAGTTGTCCCTAAGCAAGTGAGTTACCCCAACCCTTGTGAATTCAAGCAACCCTAACCAATTGCAGTGGGTAACAGAAAAAAAACATAAAAATAAGAGGGAAGAAAAAGGGGCTCACAAGGAAAAAGGGAGGGGATAAGGAAAGATAGTGGGGTATATAATTAAATTGAGTACAATGAAAGGCTGACTAAGAAAGATAATGGGGATATAATTAAATTAAGAATAATGAAAGAATAAATTAAAAATAAAGGAAAAAAGAAAAAGTTCAAAGCCATTCATAACGTAGTGTCAGCATTACAGTAACTACAGTTACTAGAACAATTTGAGTCCTAGGCTGGGCTTGGATGAAGGCCCTCAGGAACGGTAGAGCATATCTTTTGTTTTTGGATAGCAGGCTCCTCAGCTATAAAGTGATAGGTCATGGTGCTCTGATAAGAATCTGACACATTTGAGGGCTCTGAAAGCCGAGAGCTACCTTCTGTGACTCTCAAAGAGGAGTCTGGCATGGGATATCGTATCTGTGCTATTTCTCCTCTTTGATGAAGCTGAGGTGCTTGTAATGTCAATACTTCACATACCACAGTTGCCATGGAGATTCTGAGAACCTTGGTTTTATAAAGACTTTGTGAGTCTCAGTAAACTCAAGTCCTCAAGAAATAACCATAAACACACATCTACAGACATAGACGTATGCAGACTAGTCCAGCCTTCCACCATCTATTGCTATCTCTGGATCTGGCTTGTTATCACTGCACACAAACCCTTCCAAAGCACTGTTGGGATGGAAATTTAAAGATAAGCCTGGCAATTGTGCAAGAGTTGTCCAACAGCAGATTCAATTGGTATTGTTAGGGACAGGCACAAAATTCTGCAAATTGGTACCATATTTCATGACAAATGTTTTTGCTGAGCAGCAGCCAAATGAACAGAAAGGAAAAAGGAGGACAGCTCATGGCAGAGACATAAGTGGTCCTGACAAAAGCGTTTGCACACATGTTGGAGGGGCCAAAGGACTGTGGCCGCAGGGAGCCACGGGTGAGAACCTGTTCTTTTTCACCCAACTCTCTGTGTCCCTGGGGCCACAACAGAACACAAGCAGTGTTAGCATGTGAAACTAAGGCTGCAAGTTCAAAACAATGTCCTTAGGCTGGGGGAGTTGGCTCAGTGGGTAAGAACACTTTCCTTTCAAATGTAGGGACCCAAGTTCAAATTTCCAATACTAGCCAGGTATGTCTACTCATGTGACTATAACTCCACTACTGTTAAGGGAAGAGACAAGAGGAAGGCTGGGGCCTGTTAGCTGCCCAATTAGCTCCAGGCTCAGAGGAACGCGCTGTGTCAAGGGAATAGGCAGAGAGTAATAAAGAAGGACACACAAATGTCCTCTGACTGCTGCACATGCACGTACACACACAGCACACACACATGCAAACACCACACACATACACCATTCATAGACACCACACACATTTTCTCTTGTATACAACAACAAAAATCACAACAACAAACCCAGGGCCATTGTTTGCACATGGCATTTGGCATGCATCAACCTCATTGAAATGTCACAATTGCTCAGGAGACAATGTCATTCCTGTTGTTTTCTATTCTGTCTAGAGCAGACAAGCTTCTGGAAAGCTAAGGCAGCGTTGGGTGCAGCAGTCAGATCCTGTATTCTGCACCATAGCAAACCATCCACGGGGGCTTTGTGCAGCAATGCAAACGTCTTGTTTCTTCCGTCTTCTGTGGGTAGCGGCTTTTGAATGGCATAATTGTATGTATGTAGCCAGCCAACAAAGTGAGTTTATAATTTCACTGAGCTGTACTGATTTAGATACTAATAAAAATGGCCGGATGTAGCTGAAAGCCACAAGAAGGGACAACACCCATTGAGTATCGTGTCATGGGTAAGGGAAAGGCTGGCATAACCAGACTCTGGGATCTCCTTGCTAACATTCCAAAAAGTTTTATTCTTTATCTACTTCCAATTGAAAACAGTGTTGTTGTTAAAAAGGAAAGAAATTAAATTGCCAATGTGCTAGGAAGCCATCTTTGTAAGCCGAGGTGTTGGGTGCTGCACCTGTGTTTCTGAGGTTCAGTTTTTATTTCGTTCTGGGTTGGGTTGGGTTTTTTCTTGCTGCAATAGGAGCTGACAGGATCTGCCCTCAGAGGGCTGTTGGGAACCAAGTGATGTTGTGTAAGTGAAGTGCGTGCTATTGCCGGCTTTCAGCAAATGCTTAAAATGCATAAATGTGTTCAGTTGAATTCAGTTTACGCTTAAAGGCCTCACAAATTCTATGCACCCGCTGTAATAAGTCCAGTTCCAAATACTTTGCCTGCATCGCCTTCCTTTATTTATTCCTAGTATTATATTCCTACTTATGTCTAAACAGACACTTTTTTGAAAGTGTGCCTGGATGAGCACGTTCTTCTGGTGTGTGTGTTGCTAACTGGCTAGGGAAGCTGAGGCACTGAGCACAAACTTAACTGGAAGCCATCACCCGGACTCGTAGTGTCCAAAGCTGGACTGAGATTTAGGAGGAGACCAAGACCACAGAGCCCCTAGGACTTAATGACTGGGAGTGCAGTTCTGTGTACTACTCAAGAAATTTAGCTGAGGAGTTAACACTATAAACCAAGCCACATACAAAAGAAAAGACAAGGATAGGTAAGAGTTTAAAGGTGTCTGAGTGATTCCCATTTTGTCTGTTCCCCAGCAAACACCTAGCAGGCAGGTGTGGAGT